AAGAGTGATAAAATAATTAAAGAAGAAATGGGAAAAGGAAAAAAAAAGAGAAATAAAGGGAGGGAGAGCAGCCAGCTGGATCTTTGAGACCTGAGGCAACATACTCCTAGAGCAAAGACAGACCCTGCATTGCAGCTATTTTTGGAGAGACAGAGTGAAAAGAACCATTAACACTGAGCCCAAGATGTTGTTGCTGGGGGTAGAGTCCCCCTCTCCCCCAGAGGGCTCCATTCATAAAGAGTTTTCATCATATCTGGGACTAACAATGCCATCATGTGTTTTCAGCTGAAATGTGACTGACAGTGGACAGAGCAGATGTCTGGGGCAGAGTGTATATGTGTCCAGGGGAGCTTCTCTCTGTCAGAGGAAAGGTAATCTTGATGGAAGGGGAAGGCTGAAAGGAAAAGAATCACTCTCCTTCCAGCTGCTCCCACACAAATAACCGCAGCCAACCAGTTAACGCAGGGTCGTAGAAAACTGCTTGGGATCAAAATCATTTTTCTGCACTATTTTTTCTGAACCTTAACAAAAACCATGGTTCTACTTTCCTTCCTGTGTAATTTCTAGGCTTCCTGTGGTTCTTTCCAGTGTCAGAAAAACTAACAAAGCCACACGGAAAGGTCCACGGTTCATACCCTCTCCTGCCCAGACAGAAGTGGGGAGTATCAAATCTTCCCAGTACAGAAGCTTGATTTCTCTGTCTTGCCACATGATTGCCAACCCCACGAATGCACAAGTCTCACATGTGAACATCTGGAGGGGGGGATACTTAAACCAAACTCTTTCTAAGTATGGAGTGTAGGGGCCCAAGTGGTGGAGGGGAAAGAAGCAGTCAGATGTGAATGGCGGTGGGCGGTGTTCTGGTTCAGGCCACTTTTTCATGTATCAGAATTAGTGTGTCTATCCTGAATCTGGATTTCTTTCCAAATCCAGGAAACGAATCTCATTCAGATTCCCACAGCAGTGAACCCTCCCTCCCTACTAGGATGAAGGAAATGTGTGAAACAGCATGGTCCTCTTCTATACTAGGGTATCTGATTTTATTTGGAACCCCTCCCTCAAGGATCACATGATGGATCTGGGATGAAGGAGAGCAGCAGTTTGGTCCTTGCTAGCCTCTCCACATCTTTAGTTGAACAAAGGAAATTTCAATGCAGTCCAGCTAGTCCAGTTTATCTCTGGGTTCATCTACACTGCACTATAACTCAAAATAATATATGCAATTTGAGCTACACAAATTGCATATCTTATTTCGATACTATTTCAAAATAAAGTGCTATTCCGAAACGTCCCTTACTCCTCATAGAATGAGGTTTACAGGGACATAGGCATAGTGAGCCCGAAATAATGGGCTTTCTATGAAGATGTGGGATAGCTATTTCAGGATACTCCGGTATCCTGAAATAGCATTGCAGTGTAAACGTAGTTTCTTTGACTGGGAGCAGGACCAGATGATTCAGGAATGGAAGAACACCTGGAGTGTACCAAATGACCTATCCATAGAGGGAATTCCTTCCACTGGCTCTAAATTGGCAACTATGCAGAAATCTAACTAGGTGACTCCCTATGCCGTCATAAGACCAGCCCCATATATCAGTATTTAGAAATCAGAGTGATAAGTGCCTTATAAATATAATAGAGAGATTTCTCTAGTTGTAAATGACATCAAAGTAACTCAGCGGTAACTGGAGAAGCACAAAAATTAGAGATGGAAAAGACCAGTTTGGTCTCATTTAGTCCAATCTCCATCCCACAACCAGTGCTTTATCTCAGTTCACTTTCAGACAACATAGGGGATGGGGTCTCCATCAGTACCCTGGGCAGATCATCAGTAGTTTAAGAAATCTCTCTTTAAGATACTAGTATTTGTTGTTTATATTACAGTAGCACCCAGAGGACACAAAGTGGATCCCATTGTGCTGGGTGCTGTACACAGGAAGATATGGCCCTCAAGAGCTTATAACCCAAGAACTTGAGAGAGAATTCTTTATCTCCAACGCATATTTTCCTTTTGCTAAATATCATCCTATTGCTCCTAATTATACCCCCTCCAATGACCCTAAACAATTCCTCTCCTAGAGTGGTGTTTAGCCCCTTTGAATACCAGTGGCCAGTGATCATGTTGTCTTGTGCCTCATCCCTTAGTCACACCTTAGCTAAGTGATACAGATTTTTCTCTTTTAAGCTTTTCTCATGATTCAGTCCCTCTGGTCTCCTAGTAATTTGTATTGCTCACCTCTGAGCTACCAGCTTTTTTCTGGTAGTGAGGTGCCCAGAGTAGTTTTCACTCTAGGATCAAACTGGGGTTACCCAAACTCCTAGCAGAGGCTGGGTGAGGTAGGAAACAGTCTAGTGGATAGGATACTGGATTGAGGAGACTTGGAGGTCAATTCCTGATTCAGCCACAGACTTCCTGCATGGCTTTGGGTTGGACATTTAATCTACACTGTGCCTTAGTTCCCCATGTGTAAGGGGATGATAAATCCTTTTCTACCTCGCAAGGGTGCTGTTAGGATAAAATTGATTAATGTGTGTGAGGTGCTCGGGGACTATAGTGATGACAGCTATCTATGTACCTAGATAGAGACCTGCTTTCTGTGACTTGATCCACCTGTCAGTTCATGCTATCAGATCAACAGAAGGGTTCAGCTCCCCAACCTCCTGGGAGCAGGAATATTTTGGTTGTAGAAACCGCAAGACTCACCAGTTTTCCTCGGTCCTTCTCTACAGACAGACTCTGTTTGTGAATCTCTTAATTAAGCTGGAAAGACTAGTTATCTGATGGATCTGAATTGAGATGCTGGTGAAGTTTGTGTGACATCCCCGGAGAGCACATTAAACTAAACCAAACAGACTAAGGATTCGGTC